TTTTCTTTTTTTTTAAAGATATTATAAATAAATACAAATACTATTCTCAAATCCTTAATTTTTTAAAAAATTAAAAATAATAATTATTTTAAGACACATGGAGTATTTTCCTATTTTCTTATAAAAATTTTCAAATTAATTATATTAAAACTATATAGCATTAAGACACCTGGACATGAACGGTTACATCATCATACTAGATCTCACCCAAATACGTGCTCTGTTAGTTAAATTGAATTCCGTCTAAAAGGGCCACCATTTCAAGGGTTTGAGGGTTCATTGGCCACCATTTTCAGTTAAGGGGCTGATTTGTCACCAGATTTGTGCCTTTTTTGTATAGTTTATATTTTTTGAGTAAACTATTAAATTAAATGACCCTTCATTCATGGTAATGAAGGGCCGGTTGGTGGGTCCTCGATAAAGAGGAAAAGAAATTGTAATTATGGCTGTTGGAGGATGAACAGCACAGGAAGCAAGCATCCAATGCCACACTACGCCCAACATTCGTTCATTTATTTTAATTTTATTGAGTAAAAATGTATATAAAAAAATTGATTTTATTAATTTTTTATTTAAAAATATGATTTTTTAATTTTTAATTAAAGTAGTTCAATATTTTTTAAATAAATTTTTTTTTTGAACAAGTTGTCAAGGATTGGGTACAAAACCTATCCATAGGAAAGGAAAGAATGCACCTCAAGTTGACTGGGTGTCAGTTGAACCAAAGAGCTAAGTGCTTTTAAATAAACTACTTGAATTTTCTATTTAAAGAGGTAATGAATGAGAAGGAGGGACACGGTTGGATTTTAGTTTAATTAAAATTAATATACGAATTATTTTTTTACTTTAGAGTACTTGAAATTTAACTAAAAATGTTTATAGAATTTTGATTTAGTGATCAAGAGAATCAGTTTTAACATGTTAGTTATTGGTTATAGTTTTTTTATAAGAAATAGAGAAATATATTAAATAATAAAAAATTACAACAAAATAAAATAACCATAAAATCAGAAGCATAACCTACAGCATTAGTAATAAACTTAAACTATGCACATGATAAATATTGATAATTAAGCAAAGAGAGCCATATGCAATTAGGGATTGAATTTACAATTGTTGTATGGACTAAATAAGACTACTAATGTAGAAAGAGGAGTCACTATGAGCATTAAGAACTACTGGACATACTTACCTATTTAACCAGTTCCTTGGGGAGAGTAAGGGATTCCGGCAACAAACAGTCCCCAACCCACAAGTTGCCGCCCTACTTGTTCTTAAAGAAAAACAACCAAGAGGGGTATGGGCCTTTTTTTGACAAGCACAAGGTCTCCTAGTTGCCTTTATATACTTCCAATCATGTTTTCATCTTTGTTGATCCTTTTCAAACCCATGCTGTCAAAACTTATTAAAGGAACTAAAGCCCCTTTGCTTTCTTGAAAATCAGGCTTCCTATGCAAACCATAGTCGGCCTTATCAACAGCATCCCTTTCCTTCAGTAATCGCCTAGCTAATCGTGAACTGGTATGAATTAGATTTGTCGAATTCGACCCCTGCCAAGATCTCACTTCACCAACAAGATCAATTCTAATCGCAACCTTCAGAAATCAAGAGATGTAAACCCTAGAAAACCCAAAAAGCCGTTGCCTTGTGGTCCCTTAGGTTGGAGTTTCCAAAGCAAGACAATGATAAGAGAAAGGAGGAGATCAAGAGGAGGAAGGGTGGGGTAAGAAAAAAGGAGGGATGAAGGAACTCTTATACCGGAGAAAAACCCTAGAGAGGATAACCCACCGTCACTACTCTCAACTCTAGAAGTAGTGCATGAGAGAAATCCTATGGAGTTTTTAAGGTTAGTTATTGGTTATAATTAAATCAATAATAAATGTATATTTTAAATTTAATAATGACAATACTTAATGAAAATTTAAAATTTTTAAAGGACATAAATAGAAAAAAAAAA